ATTTAATCTTATTGTAATTGAGATTTATTTCATATTATATTTAGTCCTTTCTTTTTCATAATATAAGTGATAGTCTTAAGGGGAAGAGAAATTTCTTATACACAAGCACTAACAAAGTATCACGGAGACTAACCCCGTTGGCTTAACATTTTCTTATTTTGTCCTTAAATGTTCAATATATACACTTCTTGTTAATAAGAATAAGAGGGCATATTTGACCTTTTCTATGTTCAAGTTGACAATAGAGAAATTTCCTTATGGACAGAGTACAATTTTTTTTTTTTTTGGGGTCAAAAAGATAGACAGAGTACATTGATACAAGAAGAAAGGAACAGTTTTTAAGTTAATCACAATTATTGCAAGGATAAAAGAGAGCAGCCAAGCAAAAACTTGCAAAGTTGGTGCGTTCCTATTGCACTATTAACTTCTATAGACAAAAGGAGGAAACACATGTGACATGGGATGGGAACAAGATGAGTTGAGAGGATTATGGTTGCTTCTCTCCCTGAAATGGGGGACTCTCATCAAACATGCGAGTCTCTCTCTTTTTTGTTGGAGGTGAATCAATTTCAGTAGACGTGGACCGCAACAATCCGCTCTGCATCAAGTCTAACAAATGTGTCTGCAAATGCGTGTTCATCTCCATCACATGTTTTGCCATTCTTGTTGCCCACATCCGGTGCTCTAGGATTGTTTCCAACTTCATTTGCATTGCTGCAGGACTGAATTCTTCCTGCCCAAATTTGTATGACAAATAATTAAGATGTCTCTTGATTAATTGGTGCTTAGGCATATAGCACAACATTACTAGCCAAGTCATATACCATTTTTCTGTGCATGTGTGTTGTTCGCGTATGTGTGTGCACGTGTCCTAATGTTACGTGCGTATATGTATGCAAGAGAAAGAGAGAGACCTCTGTGTCATATATTTGTTGGCCAGAATGAGTGGTGTGGTTTCCTTTGAGGAAGTGGCATGACGAAAGAAGAGGGATTTTCTCCTTGGATGAGTTGGGAGGCTGTGGATACTTGTCGAGCGAAGAAACACCAAATGCATTAGAAACTCTCCGATGGTTTGACACAGAAAGCAATGAGGACTGTGGAATCACTGCCAGATTAGTTACAGCCCCTGGTAATAGAAGAGAGCAACAATCTTGATCATACAAAATAAAACTCAGTCTAGTATGATTTGTATTAGAAAGCAACTGCACATAATACGTTTTTGCAATTATAGGCATGCCTCTCAATCAAATATTACAAAAGCCCTTAATGTTTTTTCTACTGTATGCCACTTTTGAGCAACCAATTGGAGCATGGACAAAATGCCTTCAACAAAATAAAAGTTAGCTACATACCAAGAGAAATAAAATTTAGCTCACTCAAACCTCTCCAAGAAAAGGGAACAGAATAAGGCTATAGGCTACGATTACCTTTGTTATGGTCGAATCTTCGGAGGATTGCCCAATTGGTGATATCCCAGATGCAGATGGTGCAGTCCTCAGATGCAGATACCAGACCTGCTTGACTGAAGGTTAATGCAGTGACAGCTCCCCTGCAGGGATTATGGGTCTTTCATCAGCAGACTATAGAATGTAAAGGACAAAAATCAATAACTCATATTTGAAGATTTGACAGAAAATGCACTCTGCTTGTGTGAAGAGTCTGAAGAGCATGTGCATGTTTATCTCCAATACAAACCCATAAAGCTCAGCCATGTAATAAAAAAGACATTCTCGAGATCTTATAACTATTTCTGTTGAGAAAAAGGACAGTTTTATCTCCAATGATCTAAAAAATCTTGAAACACCATACATTACTTGTGTCCTTTTATCACGGCTTTTTGATCTTCAGCAGCAGCCAAAGAATTTTCTACCAGTCCGATTTCAAGTTTGTTCACAAAAATTCTTCCATCTATACTTCCAGAAAAAAAGAGCTGCTCCGTTGGGTGAAGAACAACTGCAGTTATCGCTAGCGGATAAACTTGAGTTTGCATAAGCTTTCCCAAGACTAAATCCCATACCTAAGCACAGAATAATTTTCTTTCAGTAATAAGATATATCAGTCAAAAGATACAATTGTTAGGAGCATGAACAAATATGAGTTTGATAACCTTGCATGAGCCATCAAGTGAGCTTGATATTAAGACTACATTTGAACTGCCTGATGTAGTTAACAGGCCAGTTATAGAGGATTTATGCTCCATTGAATAATGTAATAATGAGGGAAAGCTTTGAGAATCTTCCATGTCCAGCAAACTTCCATCAAAATGATCAGAAATTAGCATCACTGTGAATTCTTATTATCTGAAATTTTTTCTAGAGTCTAAAAAGTGACAAGGCCAAAATCCAAGTTCAGTTATTACCCGACCATAGACCACACACATATCATCCCATCATCTGAAGCAGAAACGAGAAGAGAGCCGTCATCAGAAAACAGCATACAGTTCAAAGATTTATGATGTCCACGCCAAGTTTTGAGCAATTTTCCATTAGCAACCTACAGATCACCTCAATGCCATTAAGATCTTTATTGGAATGTTTCTGAACAGAGGAATTGATGACAGTGATTACAAACCTCCCAAAGGTAAACGTTTCCAGATAGAGCACCACCTGCAAGATATACACCATCCTTTGTGCAAGAAAGTGGCCCAATGGCCTCTAGTGGGTAGCTCCGAATAGGCTGCTGAGGCTGGGAAAATGTTGCATACAACAAACCAAATATGATTTGCACAAGAACATAGTTTTCTTATTCATGAGTATTAATTCACACAAAAAAAGAGGAGTTCAAATTCATTGTACTATTTCCTATCTCATTTTTCAGGATGTAAAATTGAATCAAAAGCATCAGAGTTCTGTGAACATAGAGGCGACTGACTCAACAGAATTCGATTCAAACCTATACTTCAATGACCATAGACAAATTGCAAAGGCTAACCAAATTTGCTGGTGTAAAGGTGGTATTTTGTTACTCAGATCGTATCAAGCTTGCAATTTTAAAAACCAACTATCCGTTTGGATGAACGAATTGAAAATTGCATAGAATTCTTAAATGATGGAATTTAGATCTCCATCGTTTAAATTTCTGGCAATTAGGAAAAGTAGAGAACAGAAATTTGCACATAAATGGTCAGGCCAAAATTTACACAAAAACGAGAGAGATCAATTACAAATTTCAAACCAACATGGGATGGGAATCAAATTCCTAAACCGATTTATTTACAATTGTTCCAGCATAAAAATTGATATAAAACCCCAAACAATCTGAGTCTAAGCAGTGAGAATTACCTTGTTCAAGGGCCACATAGAAATGGCCCCTCCTCCAACAGAGCCATGTTTGTGAATCTGAGAAGCTACTAGGAACTGGTTTCTCAGGCACACAAGACCATGAGGAGCAGAAGCACAGGTTGGTATGTGAAGAAGACGATCCCCCTTGTCTATGCCCCATATAGTTATCCCTATTCCCATGCTCTTGTCGCTGCACACAACCACTGCCTCGCCACCATTTTTAGCCATCTCTCCCTTTCTCTGTTGCTCTGCTTTTCTCTGTGCTTGAAATTGCGAAGAGTGATATATATTATAAGCTGTAAAGGACTTCTGCTGTGTGAACGTGCATGGATTGAGTGACGCATGGCACGTAAAACCGTGAAAGAGACAAAGGCAGTTGAAGAATTACGCATCTTTTGATTGTCTTGCTCATTATAGCACCTGGGGAGCAAAGAGGGGGTTTCGTTCTATTCTATGTTATGCAGGTGGTCTACATGCATATAAATGATCTGTTGGCCGTGGCCAATAAGGAGAAAAACTAGTTGCAAAAGAGGATGATACTTTTTTGTTATCTAGTTCAATAATGTTATGTCATGTGGATGTATTATCATACGTGTCATGATGTTATTGATCGAGATAGCAAAATAGTGTTATTCCCGTTTCAAGAAAATCTTTCTCGCCAATAAGGGTGGAGACACATGTGTAAGTGGGTCCTGGATAAGGACAAATTATTTTTAAATTTCTTGTTGAGGTTTTTTAATTTTTTTTTTGTAAAAACAAAATAAACTAACAACGGTATTCACACAAACGTCTAAATCTCGTAACATGTTTACTACGTCATGAATAACAACCTCTAAAGATAAATTCGTTACTATGTTCGAAGAAGAGGGGACCCTTGAGCTATTTTTTCTTTTCGGTTACAACCTTGGAACCTAATAAATTAATCACAAAGTTCGTCTTATGAAAAATGTGCGTAAATGTTACCTCATCAAATTAAGTCATAAACTAACATATATTGATAATAAAAACTTTGTGCTTCCCCAAAGATAGAGCCATGATGTAAAACGATGTAGATAGTGTGGTTATACGATGTAATGTAACAAACATAATTCTATTCAAAGATGTGGATTCTTTATAATTTAGCTATACCAAACCCTTATCAGGAGTCAACATGAGAGCCCAATAAAAAAATGACCTTGAATTGCACATCAGTAATCTCATGTTTGCATCTAAATGACACATTAATAGTGTGTATGAAAAAACACCCTTCTCCTTTCTAATTTAACAAACATACAAAACCCTTTACAAGGAAAAACTTTCATTATTTATCATTTATCTATGTCAAACCCTTACAAGAATGAATAATGAGAAATGAGAAATAGAATTTAGATTGACCCCCCTTTCAATCATATAGGTTGTTGAATTTAGATTGAGTCATCGTTTGGGTATATTGAATTAGAATTTAAATGAGAAATGAGACTTGAGACTTGAGGTCTTTTCAATATTGAGAAGAAAAACATTATTAAACCAAAAGCTAATTTATACATATTAGCATGTTAAACCAAAAGCGAACTTGAGGTCTCTTCAATATTGAGAACTAGTAGTCTGAGCTTTGAATTCTCTCACACCTTGATAGCTTGTTTGTGATATCTATCGCCTTATAGTTTAGACTATCGCTTTCGCTTGTATTCATTTGATAGTAATATTAATTAATTAGATTGTTTTCTTAAGGCCGCTGGTACGTGAGTAAATAACTAACTAAACAGACCTATTTTCGCAAAACCCGCCACGTAATCTTCAGCACAGGATACAGCAATCTCTAGGCGCAATCACGAAGGAGCTCTCTCACTCAAGAGTGAAACTGAAACATTGAAAGCTTCACCTCCACACTCGCTCGCCCCGATCCGAAAAAAAAACCACCGTTATTTAAGATCCGAATACCAAAATGGGCGGTAAATTCCCCATTCGTTGAATTCAAAAGTCCATTTAATTAGGGTTTGAAATGGCATCCGAATTCTGATAAACCGTTGTTTCGCAATGCACAGGTAAAGAATCAGCTTGCTCTTGTTCGAGTTTATGGTTAGCTCCCAATCCAAGCAAGAGATGGGGGGAGCTCTTCTTCCTTCTCTACACTCCTTTCTGGCTCACTCTCTGCTTGGGAATTGTCGTGCCCTTGAAGCTCTACGAGGTTCGGTTTCGTTACCGTCTCATTGGTTACTGGGAAAAAAAATGAAGAAAATGAATGAAAAGAGTAGTAGAAAAAGAAGGAAATGTTATTTTGATGAAATTGTTTAATTTTTCTGATTTTTGTATATGTGTTGACTAAGTATCTACTATCAAATTTGATCTGCGTCTGTGGCAGAGCTTTACGGAATTGGAGTATTTGCTGATTGGATTGGTTTCAGCAGTCCCTGCTTTCTTGTTGCCAATGCTCTTCGTTGGGAAGGTAACTACTTCAACTTTACAAAGTTCAGTTTAGATTTCTTATTAGACCTCAAAGCTTAACGAACGGTTGTCAACTAAGCATGAGAGTTCTTGCTAATATTTGGGTTTTGTACTGATGTGAATTTTGACACCCTTGTGCTTTAGATGTAATTCATTATTTCAGATAAACAAGTTCAATCTATTCCAAATTTTGCTTGAAAATGGTGTTCCCGAATAAAATTGTTGTCAACTTACTGTCATTTCTCATTTATAATGGGGTATTCAAAATAACATTCAAAACTTTCAATTTGAAAAAAACAAAACAAATGATGGTTAAATTAAAAGTTCCACCAGCACTCAAATTGTGCTACTAACTCTTCTTTTTGCTAAGACTCACAACTTATTTTCTGTCATTGTCTACAAAACTTCATTTATCTCTTGAAACTAGTAGTATTTTGAATCTAATTTGTATCTAAAGATAAAAGGAATATACGAGAGAGTAAATATGCACTGATAGAGCCGTCATATGGTTTAGCAGTTGGAAAGTCCAATAGAATGGAATGAGTTACCCAATATTTGTTTTTTTTCTAACCATTTTTTTGTTTCTTTAATTTTTTGTGAGTATGCTTGCAGGCAGATAGCAGCTTGTCTTGGAAGGATCGTTATTGGGTCAAGGCAAGTTTTTCCTGGGGTGAAATTCTTTATATATGTCATGATTAGGACAAGATCATCAGACAATGGAACTTATACTTTGGTTTATTAGTTTCTTTGCTTATTAATCATTTGTTCTTGTCAATGACTATACCTTCGTGCTGGACTTATCGTTTATTCTAAATGCTGTGTATTTCTCTGTTTGGTACTTTGTATTGCACTTAATGTGCTTATATGATATCACACATCTTATCAAGTTGCAAAACATGTGATAAAAAGGATTTTTTTTTTTTTTGGTTTAAAATGTAGTTTTATTAGTACTGTTCTTGTCTTTTGAAGGTTCTTTTCTCTTCATTGCCTTACTGCGCCAGTCAATCCATTAGCACTTGTCATCTTTATTTACAACTTTATGCTTAGCCTGAACCATAATTTAATTTTTGTTACAGGCCAGCCTGTGGATAATAATTTTTAGCTATGTTGGGAATTACTTTTGGACCCACTATTTCTTCTCAGTTTTGGGAGCTTCGTATACTTTCCCATCATGGAAAATGAACAATGTAAGCTAAACCTAGAAAACTAGAAACACTCTGTAATAGACTACTTATCTTTTCTAACCACTTTTTTTTATTTCTGTGCAGGTACCACACACTACCTTCCTTCTTACACATGTTTGCTTCCTATTTTATCATGTCACATCAAACATAACGCTTCGCAGACTACGCCATTTTACTGCTGAATTGCCAGAACGAGTTCAATGGGTTACTGAGGCTGCATGGATTTTGGCTCTTTCTTACTTCATAGCATACCTGGAGACTGTAGCTATTTCTAATGTATGTTATAACACATTTGTGATATCTTTCATCTAACAACTCGTAAATTTTGACGAATTTCCAAAGTTACCCTATCAATATATTAGATTCTAGATAAGGTAGAATGCTGAAGTTCATATATACGTTGCTTCATGTCCCTCTAGTCTTAGTCTTGCTTATCCCTTGGAATTCCATTTGACCCCTATGCCCTCGTATCAAGAATCCCAGTAAACTTGTGATGAAAATCAAGTCAGCTTTATTAAGAAAATTTATATAGTAGTAAAGTTTCTTGGCCACCGTAACCACAAAAATAATGTCTGGAGTGAGCCTGTGATCAGTATTTGTTTATCTTTTACTGGTTTAAAGAGACAGCTTTGTTTCAGAAATTCTCTGTTGATAGGTAAGACCTCTGCGATATAATAGACTTCATAAATGATTTCTACAAGCTGTTCCTTTGAAATGCCTCCAGTTTAAGGATTTGTTAATATCTTACAATATAAATAGCCCACGTCAATGTGAATAGATTCTGTTACAATGATGTTTTGTTTTGAAAATGTGCAGTTCCCTTACTATCAGTTTGTCGACCGGGCATCTATGTACACAGTTGGGTCCTTGTTTTATGCCATCTACTTCATTGTTAGCTTTCCCATGTTTCTAAGGTAAGAAGTGGACAGTTTTTTGGTGCAACTTAGTCATCAGAAACATATATGGGATCATTCAGAATTCTCATGATATTTCTTTGTTCATGTTAAAAAATTTATTAAAATTTTTACTCAATGTTATACGAATTTAACTGCTGGTGATTCATCCATGTACACAGGATTGATGAAAAGCCTGGCAATCCATGGGACTTGCCTAGGGTGGCTATCGATGCTTTGGGTGCTGCAATGCTAGTGACTATAATATTAGATCTGTGGCGCATCTTTCTGGGACCTATTGTTCCAATCCCAGAAACAAAACAGTGTCTTCAACCCGGACTACCATGGTTCCCGGGACATGATGATCAACGTTGACACCTACTTGCGCAAACCGGGACCTGGGAGTTAGTTCCCTGCCCGAGAAGATACCATGCTCCGGGATTTCTTGTAGTCGATGGCATGGCAATGGTGTTTGTACCATATTGAATGATTGTTGTAATTTCCATCTTCAGGACGTAGAAAGAATTTGGTAACGCATACGTTTTTTACATTCCATCTTTCACAGTACATGTGTCGTTGTAGCTTCATAACTGATCTGAATGCTGCTTTCTGAAATCTGAGTTAACCTAATAGCGTACACAACTAGAATTCTGCTTCTCCAATCTAAAAGCCAACAAAAAATGCATGGCGTTTTGCCATTGCTTAAAGAAAAAGAAATCGAAGATGAATGTGTAGAATTTTCAAACAGCTGACTCAAAAATTGACACTTTGGATATCCAACCACTGATTTTTTATTTTATGTAAAGAAAAAAAAAAGGATATTTAAAACCTCTCTTGCATCAAAATTGTTTTGTCTTGTTTTGTGTTTTTCACTCAAATCAAATAACATTCTATACAAAATAAAAAAAGGTGGGAAAATGTTTTAAGCAGGCCCGTTCGCACGTGCGAGTCCCCTTCATCACTTCGCTTCATTTGCCATTGTCCTCTTCCAAAAATGATAAGAAAGATATTTCTGAAGCCTACAAAAATCCTCTAGAAACTCACTTCACTGGCCACTCTGCACTCTCTCTCCCTCCTACTCTCTCCGTTTCCCGCTTTCAAACAAAGCTCGGCAAACCCCAAAATCCTATCCGGGGGTTTCGTTTCCACCGTTTCGGCTCTCCGAAACCTCCAACTCGAAACTCATGCTATTAGGGGTTTTGGGGGGTTTATCTGTCCACCATTCTCTATGCTCAGCTCCTTTTAGACCAAGCGTCTCAACTCAAATGGCCGCTTTCGGAGCTCTCTCTCCTTGTCCGTATAGCCTCCTGTGGCGGCCGAAACCTACAAACCGCTGCGTTTCGTGCTCTGTTGGCTCTTCTGCTGTTACAGGTAGTAAAAGTTCAAAGAACATCATATTTTACGCATTTAAAATCAAAAAGTTTTCTTTTTGGTGCTCGGAAAGTTGAAGAAAATGAAAATGGGAAGTATAATGAAATTTTATTGGTTTACTTCACTTAGGTACACGTGGGTCGAATGTTAAAAGATCGGGAAGAATGGAAGGGCCTCGGAAAAGCATGGAAGACTCTGTTCAACGAAAGATGGAACAATTTTATGAAGGCAGAGAGGGCCCACCAATCCGTGTTTTACCAATTGGTGGCCTGGGAGAAATTGGGATGAATTGCATGCTGGTTGGGAATTATGATCGCTATATTCTGATTGATGCTGGTGTCATGTTTCCAGAGTATGTGTTTACTATTGTTTATACTCCTGACAGAATGCATCTGGGTGATAATTAGATGTAATTTTTCAAGTATGAGTTTCCTTTCTTAGAAGATTTCTTCTGTCCACATTTTTACTGTTATAGGTTTAGTTTATTCTAGGAGAATTGACAAATTGTGTAATACCAGCATAAATGTACTCTATGGATATTTGCTTCTCTGAATCTATGATGAGAGTGATCCTTATTTGCCTTCTCTTTTCTTCCGCGTATGCATTGACCCTAGATCATATGTTCTATGTTTTGCAGCTTTGATGAGCTTGGAGTCCAAAAGATTATACCTGATACCACATTTATCAAAAAATGGAGCCACAAAATTGAAGCAATTGTTATTACACATGGGCATGAAGATCACATTGGTGCGTTGCCTTGGGTAAAGTTTCCTTCTGATACTTTGAAAATGCCATTTTGACTGAATACCACACTTGTTACTTCTATTAAGTTCCTGTCATTGACACCTACCATTAAGATTTTGTAATAGGCTTGAAAGCCTGGTGTTCGGTTACATACTACGGTAAGTGGATTTGGAGTCCTGTGGGGCTTGCGTAAATTTTTGGTGGAGTGCATATTGGTGCCTTGGGTGATGGTGGAAATGCTGTAATATAATGAGTTGTGCGAAATATCTTTTGACAACCATTAGTTGTCAACATGCACAGTTGGTCCCTGGCCTATGGCATGCTAAGGTAGTCCTGAATTGTTGCGACCTACGTAAGTAGCTTGCAGAGAGAGTGAGAGCAAAGTGGGTGAAATGAGAATGTCAATCACCAAAGCAGCATGCACACATGAAAATATATACCAGCAGTTAATAAATCTACTGCAATTTTCATGTTTGTAGAAAGAAACATCATAAAGGGACTGATTCCATAGAGTACTTTTCTTTTACTTCTAGATGCTTTTCTAGGTGAAGATGAACTTAGATTGTAAATGTTGTTCTAGTACAAAAGGGTTGTATAATATGGTAATTGCATCAAAATCTTTTTTATGTTCTTAAAAGAATGGCACTTGCACCAACTATTTTGAGAGACTTACCAACTAGTTTGAAATGCCTACCTGAAATCCTTGGAACTTAAATTTTCTCCTATTTGTATTTTATTTTAATTAAACGTTCTCCTGGAAGTTTATTATTTTGGGTTTCATGTAATTTAGTTGATACATCTTTTTTTCTCTAAACAGGTGATCCCAGCTTTGGATCCTGGTACACCAATATTTGCATCATCCTTTACCATGGAGGTACTTGCGTAACTTTAATTTGGCAGCCAAAAATTTCTTTCACAATATGTAAATATCAACATACTTGTTTGTTAATGTTGACCTTCCGTAGAATGTTAGTACTTTCTTTGCAGCCCTTAACCATGTGGTTTTGAGGTTTTTTGTGTGATGAAGATGCATGTCCTCTTGAATTCCTGGGTTCTTTACAATTTTGTTGCTACCATAATGTACAAAAAGTTGATATTGTTCTTTTAACAGCTTATTAAAAAACGCCTGAAGGAACATGGGATTTTTGTTCCATCTAGACTTAAGACATTTAGAACAAAGAGGAAATTTATGGCTGGACCATTTGAGATTGAGCCTGTTCGGGTGACACATTCAATTCCTGACTGTTGTGGATTAGTCCTTCGCTGTTCTGATGGGACAATTCTTCATACTGGGGACTGGAAGGTAAATTTTCTTACAGGTATAGCATCTTCTCTTCTTTGATTGAGTTCTCAAGCTTAATAAAGAACTATGTTAAACAGATTGACGAATCACCATTGGATGGTAGAGGTTTTGACCGTGAAGCTTTGGAAGAACTTTCAAAAGAAGGAGTAACCTTGGTATGCCTCTGGGTCATAGTAATCGTATATTTCTTAATTTCTTATATTTTGGGATCCACTTGGACTTGGTAGTGAGATTGAGATTTTCCTTGGGGACAAAATAGGGGTTAATTTTTGGGGCTGTTAAATCAAGAATATGAAGTCATATTGTTACTAACCTTGGGTGAGGCATATTTTATTTGTTGTGAGTATAAAATATCTTCTCACCATGTGTATGTAGACTGAATAATTAAAAATGATATTCTAAACTGGAATGTAAGTGATCCACATTTTTGGTCAAAACTGTTTTTCATGGAGGAAAAGGTGAAGTTATCATTTTGTGCACATTATTTTTCAGATGATGAGTGACTCTACAAACGTACTATCACCTGGAAGGACAACGAGTGAAACTTCTGTGGCAGATGCGTTGTTGAGGCATATTTCAGCTGCTAAAGGGAGGGTTATTACTACTCAGTTTGCTTCAAACATACACCGACTTGGAAGTGTGAAAGCTGCTGCTGATTTTACCGGCAGAAAGTTGGTAGGTTCTTCCGACCTTATCCAACACAATCCAGTGTGTTTCTTTTCTTTAAAATACCCTTCACCTTAGTACTATGAAAGCAAAATGTGTCTAAGTAAGTGTTATATTGTGATTTATTAGGTATTTGTTGGTATGTCCTTAAGGACATATCTTGATGCAGCTTGGAAGGATGGGAAGGCACCAATTGATCCATCATCCCTGGTAATAATGCATAAAGGTTCTGTTGTAGTGTTGTCTAGTTCTCTTTTACACGGGTAGACGCAGATCCTGTTTTCTTTTTCTTCCCCATCTCTGTGTGTATACATGTTTGTGCTTTTCTTATGAGGTATTGTGTTGCTTCATGTCACGTGAGGGTACAAATACGAATTAGGAGCCAGCTTCAGCTTCTATTGGTTGAGGAAAATTGTTTTCAGCCATAAGCTAAACAATGGACTGTGCCTAGACAATTTGACTCGCGTCATTTTTACATCCAACCTTATTTCAACTAAATGAGCTAGTATGTGGAAGTCCTAGTTCTTGCCAGTAAACTCTATTTTGGGCAATATCCTCTATTAATCTATTACGTTGTAAGCCATTGAGTGGGTGTCTGATGGAATTATGCTGGGATTGGAGTTATGTGTGGTTATCATTTAAATCTCTACATCAGTAATGACATTTATTTGTATTTCTCCTCTCTTTACTGAGAGATCTCATCATAAAGTTATGTTTTTTTATACTTGAATTAGGTGAAAGTGGAAGATATCGATTCCTATGCTCCAAAGGATTTGCTAATCGTCACAACTGGCTCTCAAGTAAGTTTATCTAGATGGCCTCCTATGGCCACCTACTTTCATAAAGTAAAACCTTTTGCTGGATGTTTTTGCTGGCAAATGATGTATGCTATTGTGTCAGGCAGAACCACGTGCTGCTCTAAATCTTGCATCATTTGGAAGTAGTCACTCCGTCAAACTGACCAAAGAGGATATAATTTTGTATTCAGCTAAGGTAATAAAACTTGATATAATAAGCATCCGTTTCTACTTGTGTTTTCATATGAGTTACATCTATGAGTTTTTAGCATAACCCAATTTGTTTAGACAAATACGAATTTATATATCCTCATTTTCTTTAGTTAATTGACATATAGTTTCTATAGACTTTTAAGTTCCCTATACTTGTGGTTAACAATTCTATTCATTCATTGAAAAAGAAAGAAAGTCCAAAGTTTAATTTCAACATGGATGCATAGAAAAAGATGAAATTCCCAAAATTGGAAGTTGCACACAGATCAGCTAAATCTTTTGGAAATCTTTCCTACTCTTTCTTCTGGTTTTCAGAATTCTGAGATCTACTTCGATAGATTTTGTTGCTGCTTGCTGTGATTTTTCTGTTTGGCTATTTTGACCTTGTTTACCTTATAGGTAATTCCTGGTAATGAATCTCGGGTTATGAAAATGTTAAACCGCATATCAGAGATTGGGTCCACCATAGTCATGGGTAAGAATGAGGGGCTGCACACATCTGGTCATGGGTATCGTGGAGAACTGGTAAGTCTTTTGCATCACAAGATTTTAATTTTGAAAGGTCTTAATTTCTTATATGGTTAGATCATATTCTAATCTTCTCGAAACTGTAGTGTATCATTTGTGCGGACTCTGTGCAGGTTCCCTTGCCTTTGGAAAAATGTAGACATGGTTGTCTTTCTATGTTTCACCTTGTTTCATATTTTCTATTTTCAAGGACTAAGTTGTAATGCCATAATTGTTATTTTCTAGCTAAAGAAGCAGCAGGTGAACTGCATTTAGCCATGTGTTGGGATCTGGTGATTGTTCGGTATTTAGTTTGCAATGATGTTATGCATGGGGAATGCCCCTTCTTTATGTCATTTTTCAATAGATTGACTCTTATAGAAGATGTAATTTTATGTTATTCATCTGATTTATTTGTAACCTGATATGCCTTTTCATTTGCAATTTTCATTTGGTTTTGTTGTATATATTTTAACTGGGAAAGAATCTAATTTTCTCTTAAAGGAAGAAGTGCTTCAAATTGTGAAGCCGCAACATTTTCTGCCCATACATGGAGAGCTCTTGTTTCTCAAAGAGCATGAATTGCTTGGGAGATCAACTGGCATCCGGCACACCACTGTGAGTCAATCTGTTTATCTTGTTATACTGATGAGATATCACTGTTTATGTCTGATAAGTCTGATTCAACTATGTTACATGAAAGAGCAAATGGTTCTCGACTTTATAATCTGATGTCTTTATCCCAAAATCATCTGGTATTTTCTTATTTCTTTCTTTGTCTTTAAAATGACCCATATACATTTCCAAATTAGCAACAATTAAATTATATTTGCATTATTAAGGGGGCGTTTTTGTTATTAATATCGAATTTCCATACTGCAGCTTATAGCGTCTACAGATTTACAGAATTTTGGATTTGAAATTATATTGTTTCCTTGTACCAAACAACAGTGGATTTTATTTGTTTCCTTGGTGTCAACCTTGTACAAGTACCATTTAAAAGTACATAGCATCAAGATGATATTTTGCACAATGTTGAGAAGTTCTAATATTTTCGATACTTGTTACCTAAAAGTACGAAAGGAGTAACTTAAAGTAACCTGCTCCATATTAGACTTTATTCTGCAAACTTATAATTTTCTAATTGTTCCCCAACTCAAGGAATTTACCCTGTCAAAATTGCCTTGGTGCACGATATGGTCCAGTGATATGTAGTATGCATGACAGTGGTTAAAATTTTATTCTGTGGTCATAATCCGAAAGGAATTATGGTATTAAGATGATAAAACATGAAAACTTTTATGCAACAGGTTATAAAGAACGGGGAAATGCTTGGGGTTTCTCATTTAAGAAACAGAAGGGTACTTTCTAATGGTTTCACCTTGCTTGGAAAAGAGAATTTGCAGGTTGGAGTTGTTCCTTAAGAAGTTTTCTCTGACTATTATGAGAAGTTAATCAAGCAATTTCTAATAAATCTACTCTTATATTACAGTTGAAGTTTAGCGATGGCGATAAAGCATTTGGTACATCAAGTGAACTTTGTGTTGATGAGAGACTAAGAGTTGCCTTAGATGGCATAATAGTGGTCAGGTAGATCTCATGGATTCTTCAATGACACTGCACTCCTAATATGAGTTTCTATATGATAGCATCCTGAATTTATTTTATTTTTTGGTTTTTTTTTTCCGGTTTTAAGCATGGAAATTTTACGCCCTCAAAATGTAAATGGTCTGACTGAAAATAGCATTAAAGGGAAGATAAAAATTACTACTCGATGCTTATGGGTTGACAAAGGGAAGCTTATTGATGCACTCCATAAAGCTGCCCATGCTGCACTGTCAAGCTGCCCCATAAATTGTCCTCTGCCTCACATGGAAAGAACAGTGTCTGAGGTATTGAGAAAATTGGTAAGAAAGTACAGTGGTAAGAGGCCAGACGTAATTGCCATTGCCATGGAGAACCCTGCAGCAGTTCTTGCTGATGAGGTCAGTGTAAGACTATCTGGAAAATCCCATGTTGGTTCTGAGATGTCCACATTGAGGAAAGTAATTGATCGACATCCATATAAGAATCAGTCAACTAGGACACAAGCAGATGAAGGCAAGGACAACGCACATTTGCAGAGTACTTCGCAACAAGATACGGAAGGTCCTTTACTCTCACTCTCTCTCTCTCTCTCTGCACAGGCACCTCTGCGAATGTCATACACCTTATAGAAATATGTTCTGTATTTTCCCCTTTCCCGTACAGAGTGGTCACTCAGTGCTGTTGTTAGGGTGCATAATATTTCGTCACTGTCACCTCAATGTCAGTCTGATATATCTAAAATATATTCTATGACTTGTGATTTCTAGAATTGATGTCAGGTATGTTTTATTATTTTATCTCATCAGAGTCCGTACTTGAAGATGATGGCATTGAAGTTGAAGTACTCCTACCTGAGGAAGATTCTGCTACCTCAAATTCCAAGTCAGAAAAGCTTTCTTCTGATTCAGAGAAGTCAGATGATTTTTGGAATGCAATTGTTAGGTTATCAACTGTTGACAAATCAGTAGTAGATAAAAATGGTTTGGCTGTGCAACAGGAACATCTAAAGAAAGATGGTCCTGACAGCAGTGAAATACCAAATCCCTCAAAGCCGGTGAAACGCAATAAATGGAAGCCCGAGGAGGTTGAGAAGCTTATTAAAATGCGCGGGAAACTGCGCAGCAGATTTCAAGTTGTGAAGGGGAGAATGGCCCTCTGGGAAGAGATATCTAGAAACTTGTTGGCTGATGGGATCAATCGAAGCCCGGGACAATGCAAATCTCTGTGGGCATCCCTGGTTCAGAAATATGAGGTTTGTCCACCTCCACCCTAATGCTGGTGTTGCTTCATCCCTTTGTGCTTGTTATTTTGTTTTATCTTAGCGCTAAGTGTCTTTGTGAAGCAGGAAAGCAAGAGTGGAAAAAGAAGCCAAAAGAGTTGGCCATATTTTGAGGAAATGGATGGAGCTTTGTCTGATTCTGAGGAAATGGCAACAAAATGATTGGTAAGAGGAGAAATGGCAACAAAAGCCCCATGAACTTCTGAAAGATCCCAAAAACAATATTTAATCTGATTAAGCTGGAGGAGCAGCCAAATGTTAATTCACCAAGACTCAAGGTTTGGATAGTTGCCAGATTGAAGGAATGGGAAAAAAATAGAAATTAGGTTATTTTTTCTGTGAACCCACATAGCCTAGATGTATATCAGTCAAATCAGATAGATAAGCAAAGGGGTAAGGGTGGAATTTTTGTAGCGGGGGAAATCTTTGGTTCTATAATTTTTATCCTACATCTTGTTTTCCAATATTATTATTATTGTTTTAAGAATAGTGAAAGTAGGAAGAAGTTATAATGCTTCTTTTTGGCTGTCATGAATTCTACTCATTTTTTACACTATCATCCTGATCGAATACAGGAGCATAACTGTATTGATTACATTAAAATTGTGAAAATAAATTGCGCCACCTTCACTAGTCAACAAAGAAAGCAAAATAATTTCAGCATTCTTTCTAGGTCGCATGAAGGATTGACGCTGGTATTATTTATAAATAGACAAGGTGGATCAGTGTAAACAACAATTGAATTTTCATATAATAATGCATGGAGCAACAGCGTTCTAATAACTTTGTATTTTATAATTAAGTTATGGAAAATGCTAAAAAAAAGAAACCTCCATCCCAAAAAAAAAAACCCATAATATTGTATAAATTTCACATATTTTATAATGTGTAAATTTCAACCTACATTTTGTCATTGATGTAATTGGATTGGATTCGGAGCAACTATTATAGTAGAAATGAGTTATAGAAAAGTTAATTTTAAGAGTGATTCTATTCATATAGTTTGAGCTCTTCAACATGTTCGGGTCACTAAGGAAGGTTTTATCCATGTCTCATACTACTAATGGAATGACTTCCTTTACGGTCTATATCATTTGTACTATTTTTTCCGTTAATCTAGTAAATTTCTATTGCCTTTTATAAATACAAAAATTGTGTAAAAAAATTTCTTGAATCAACGGAGAAAATGAGAGTTCAGATTTGCTATATCTTTTATCATTGGATAGAAAAATATCACTAAATAAAATAAAATCTAGACGTCTATAGGAGTGCATTCGAATCCGCATGTTACGTCATGTATTAATACACAATAATTTCCCGTAATATAAGCGTGTGTTCGACGCAGTACTAGTGATGCATGTGAGACATTACCCAGTCAATAAGTAGTGGCTAAAACGTCAGGAGCAAGATGTTGACCATCAAACTATAGTCTCTTCTAGAACGTTGAACTTGTTCCATCTTCTTCCATGTAATCTGCTTCTCCGTCTCTTCCCTTTCATTTTTCTTACGACATAAAAAATACATCACACATGACCTGTGAGCCCGGAATTCTCCCGTCTCTTCTCGTTTTTTCCTCCCTTTTTGAATTCTTCATTCATGCATATGTCCAGAAAACTCACAGCAGCTTCTACCCAGGATCACAGAACATGGGAAAGTCGGTTCCAAAACTTCAACACGGCCTCCAAGTCTATATATAAGGGCTGCATGCTTGTTATTGTTCCATTGCAAATCCATTTTGCATTGTGTTTTGCCATTGTAAATGAAGAGCAACGGAGGATTTGAACGTGTGCTCAGCTACTTTGATGAAGATGGAGATGGAAAGATTTCGCCTTCGGAGCTGAGGCGAGGACTAGGCTTGATGGGTGGAGAGTTATTGCAAAAGGAGGCAGAGGTTGCAGTGGAGTTGCTGGACTCAGATGGAGATGGCTTGCTGGGTTTGGAGGATCTTGTGTGTTTGATGGAAGGTGGGGAAGAAGAGGAGAAAGTGAAGGGATTAAGAGATGCTTTTCAAGTGTATGACGCGGAAGGATGTGGGTTCATTACACCCAAGAGCTTGAAGAGAATGCTTAGCAGCTTAGGTGAATCCAAGTCAATTGATGAGTGTAAAGTGATGATCAATCGGTTTGATTTGAATGGGGATGGTGTGATCAGCTTTGAAGAATTCAGAATAATGATGCAGTGATCATATTGATCTTGTGGTTGCTGTATACTGTATATACTTATTGGTTCGTTCTTTGTTTCTTTTCTTTTTTCTCTAGGTTTAAGTAGTTGAGATTTTCATCGATTGAGCTGTGCTATAATTATTTTGTGTATACATGTTGGAGTTCTCTACCTGGGAATTGTGATGTTATTTTTCAGAAGTGGTAAAATTTTAGGAGTGTTTTGATTTGGTTGTAGTTGCAAAATAAACTCCTTTACCGCATACATATTAAAGTCGTAGTGCTGTCGATTTTTGTTTGTAAAGAGAAAATAAAAACCTTACAAAGAGGAAAATTCATTCACATAGCCCCGAGAATCTGCTTATGAATTTTTGCATTTTTGGGTTCCGTGAGTTGATAGTATATTAAGGAACACTAAATTACGGAAAATTCATTTGTTAAATTTCAAAATGCGAAAATTCATTTGTGAAACTCCAAAATGTGAAAAGACAATAGCATAACACCAAATAACGAAAATTCATTCACCCAACCCCAAAATTCAAAATTTATTCATGAAATCCCGAATGCCGAATGTCAAAATTTTGTAACGGATCCGAAAGGCAAAATTTAACGCTTATAACCCGGAAATATGAAACTCATTCATGAAACCCAAACAGGCGAATTCATTAACAAAACCATAAAATGTGAAAAATACATTCACAAAGCCACAAAATGAAAATATTCATTAGCAGAACCCTGAAGTGAAAATCCATTCACAAAGCCTTGAAAACCCCCTTATGAATTTTCGCTTTTATGGGTTTAGTGAACTGCAAATAGGAAACCCGAATTGACAAAATGTATTTGCAAAATCCCAATATGCGAAATTCATTCACACAACCCCAAAATGCAGAAAATCACTATAGGGTTGTGGGCATATAACACCCCAAGAGCTTAAAGAGAATGCTTAGTAGATTAGGTGAATCCAGTCCCGTGATGAGCGCACTTTAGGCTTTTGCGATGAATTACGAAACTTCAATTACCAAATTCATTCCCGAAACCCCAAGATCTGAATGTTTAATACACAAATTCAAACTTTTGAGGTTCACGAGGTGGAGTGTTTGCATGTTTATAACACCCAAGAGCTTAAAGAGAATGCTTAGCAAATTAGGCGAATCCAGGTCCCCTAAGAGCACCTCCAGCGCAGGGCCTCTTGTCCTGGCTAAAGGCCCCTTTGATGGGTTTTGGACTTCCAGCTCAGAAGAAGCAGCGGAAGCCCAAGGGCAGATCTTGCCTGGGCTTCAGGCCGAAGGCGTTAATGTCAACAGTGACGTCAGCAAGTAAAAAAAACAAATTTGAAACAAATGGAAAAAAAATCAATTTAAAAAAAATATAAAATACCAAAAAATTATGAATGTTTTCCCTATAAATACATAACAATTTTATTCACTTTCCCTATAAATACATAACAAGTTTATATTTTATTGCATATTCTTTTTTTTTTCTTGCCCTAGCCTTTTGGGATGGAACCAAAAAAGACAAGGCTGCCACTATTCACGTGAATAGTAGCAGCACTTACCTTGCCTTTGCCTTAGCCTTAGCACTTTGGGATGGACATGCTCTAATGAGTACAAGGGTTGCTGCAGGTCTACTCCAATTAATACTTTATTTTGCACCTTATTTTATCATTAAATCGAAACCTTGCAATATTTTGGTTGATGAGAAAGTGTCAGAAACCCACATTTAAAAATATAAACAAAGTCAGGCAAAAAGAAAAAATTTAAGTCTTCCCATCATAGAAATGCAAAACGCACCAAGAACTAATGTTCAATAGCCATCTATTGCAGTAAAAAGGCATTTCACCATACTTACAAAAACATATGGTTGGATTCTAAAAGGAAAAACGTAACATCTACAATCAGCTCAAGACCAAATGCTCAAAACTTTAGAAACTAATCTCACTTTGCCTCTCTGCAGGAGCAACGGATTGCCACAGGGAACGGAATGTCTCAATATTCGCAACATCAACACCAAGGGCGGCGAGATTACGGCCATACTCCTGACAATGATATATGCCAACATTAATCCTATTGCATCAAATCAATAATTTGCTACCCAGTTGCTTGAGATCCACCAACTCAGCAGCATATATAAAATTAGTTTTACAGGTATAAACCAGTGTGACAAGAGAACATTAATATGCACACACAGTGACACAACACAACACACAAATCTTGTCGAGGAATATTTGAATGCAAATCTATAGGCCAGTTCTAACCTGAATGTCAAGGAAAATTTGCATGGAAATTTTGTCAGTGTCCGAAACATTCTGATCTGAGACATCTGAACTTGCTCCACCTCGTCTTTGTGCACCTTGCCTTATTCTCTGGAGTGAAGATGCCGTTCTCCTAGCCTGGCAACAATAGTTAGGAGTTAAAGAGTTACGCAACTATGAATCCTAGAAGGTTATATATTTTAAGGTTCATCTCAGAATCTGGACATTTACCATACTGATGACATTATCAGCTGTCTCATAATAATGACCGGTAATCTCAGTTGCAGCACTAATCAGCACCTCATGCTTAGTATCACTTGTCAGATACTTTGTAGCTCGTTCTCCTTCCCAAAAAGCCTGGGAGTTGTTGGCAGGTCAGTATAAAATTTATAATTTGGAGAAAATATTCTGAAGCTCAAAACATACTGCATATTTTACAGATTAATAGTCAATCTAAACCACCGATCTTATTTGAAGTAACGATAAAGGTTAGGACAGGGATCCAATTAATCATATTTTTTTTCTCTTTTTGGAAATGGTACCTTTAGGGTCTAATAACTAGGTAAATCAACATCATCACATTAAAACATGCGATTTAGTGGACGAATTAAAGATGTCTCCATGTCCTAAGGTTTGAATATTAGATAAATCTGACACCTCAATACACACACCGACTGATACTTTACCCCACCTTATCTGAAAAACCCAGTTTTGCATCACAGTGCCCTAGAATATTGTTAGTCTAGCAACTGCATACCTTCAGAGGACGCACTACTGCTGCCACATAAGGTGAATGTCTGACAGGACGAGGTTTATTAGTCATCCTGTAAGTTGCAGTTATTCCCTTTAGCTGTTCCACGCCCTACATTGTTTAGGAAGATAGCATCACAAGGCAGGTAACAAGAAATTGTGCAAATTAATTAAAGACCCAGAACAGAGCACTGGGATATACCTGTCACAAAAAATTAAATCCATCACATAATTTCATGTTTTGAGAGGGTACATGTGAACCCACGGGGCCTGGTCTTATTGCATTGCACGATTAACCCAATATATATTATTAATCAATCAGAGCTTACCTCGTTAGACTTTTTAACTAGTACCTCTACAATTGTGTTGATAACTAGAGGTACTAAATCATTCAATAAGTTTCCTCCTTGTAAAATGCTCGGTTTTACAAGATCAAGAACATCAGCAGGACAAGAAGAAAGAAGCTTAAGTACATGCTCGAGGAAGTCTCCACAAACCCTCTTGTACAGAAAATCTATGTCATGAATAATCTGCAAAGACAACAACATATATCAGTTCATGGGTTAAAATTCCTTTTTTTTCCTTTTCAAATCAACTGACGTATATGGTTGAGATGTGGCAAGATCCAGCTACATTAGAGCATATGCGAAGTCTTTTTACAGGTTTATAGTCCAAGAAGACTTGTACTCTTATGTTTCCCTACCAGCTATGCATGGATTTAGTGCATTGAAGTCGTTAAAACCAACGGAGCAATTTATGGACATATCATATTAATAGAATCAAGACATGAAGCATACATATATAAAATCATCAGGGACAGCTGAAATAGCCCATTCACGGCCAGGGATAGAGTCAGTACTACCCTTCTTACGAGCAGCCAGTCCAGATGACAACCAATTTGAGTATCTATGATACATTCACAAATACGTTGTCAGTAATAAAACAGGGGTATAGACTAGAACACAGTATCCAAGCTCTACTATAAACTGACCTTGAAAGAAGCTGCAATGACAAGCGAAGAAACTTGTCAGCACAAGAAAGAACAGCAACATCTTCTCTCCAACAGGATTCCAAGCACTCTAACAATGTGACACTTTGCTTTAATGTTAAATCAGGAGAATTTCCTTGATCAGAATGTACATTGTCAACAGGCACAAGACTAGCGGCCACAAGTACAGAATCTAGAGACCCCGCAATTTCCTGAAACCTGAGGTAATTCTAGTAAACACTTCAAAGAGCAGTCCACAACAAAAAAACCTCAATTCAAGTTCAATAAAAACAGCAACCACCAAGAGTTCTGCCAAGTACCTCAAAGAGAAATAAACCCCAAAGTTCCATTGCTTCATGAACTCAATATAAACAGCTTCTGCTCGAAATTTGCAAACAGCTGATCTGGACGGGCAGTAGCCTTGCATGACAATACAATGTTATATGCACTTAGAACCAGACCATCACTGAGTGTCAATTCAAAAATGGATAAGCTAAGCCAAATTTTTAGAACTTCAAAAATATAACGGGGGGAATACTAATCTCTACCTTCGAGATGAGCCAAGAAGTCTAGGCTGGATTTGTAATTTTTCAAGAATTCTGTTGGCCTTCCAGGAGAAAAAGCACCGGGTTTTCCCTTTTTGATTGCTGAGAGAACCTCTTTGAGGATTGAATTTGCCAAGAAGTCAAACACATGCAAACCAGAATTTTCTGGGAAAGAAAACCCCCATAAAAACTGTTAGTTGACTTTTCTATGTCAAATATTAAAAACTATAATTTGACCTTCTTCATGTTACCATGGATTGATTATCAATGAGCGCTACATCAACACACATGCTTTATCTATAAAACTAGGGTGCATCTGACAAGCATGAACCCTGAAGAAACGCATATAAAATGAAGCAATGAAGTTGAAGAAAGACAAAGGAAATGAAAATACCACGAAAAAGCAGACAAAATATGGTGCATTTTTGTAACATGATGACACAAAGGAGTAGCAATTGATTTTGGGCTACACGGGCACACATGCTTTATCCATAAACATATACAAATGAAACAATGATGTTGAACAAGATCCTAGACAAATGAGTTACAGATAATAGTAATGAAAGATCTCTGTTTTTCATAAAATGATCACTGCAAAGGAGAAGTAATTGAGTTTGCGACACTAAAACAACCAGGAGAAGATCCACAGAGCATAGTTTGAGGTAAGAAAGCCCAAAGATAAAACTTTAAGGCCCAAAATAAGTTCAAATGACACACTATTTCTGTAGAAACCCAACTTTAATATAAAGCTCTCTTAAGTTGATGGGAGTGAAATAGCAAATATATAAGGAAGATGGTAATACCTTCAAAAGAAATTTCCAACAAAAATTTGCAGTTGTTATCAATACATAGCTTGATTTGCTGATAATCATTCTCAAGGTCATCTCCAGAGGGCCTTGTAGCTGCCAATGATGTCCTATGTGGAATAATGTTTTGTATCAATGGAGTCACTATAGTTGTGCGAAAAAGTTCTTCTGCACTCCTTGTGTTATCAATGGCAGCATATGCGCGTAAGCAATTGTAAATTGCATTTGCATCTCGATGTTCCAGCCCATCTACAAAGCAATGTCCCAGGCTGGCATCTAATAATAGGCTTGCACTTTGAATCCGCTTCTCCATGTTTTCAATGAAAGGCAGGTTCTGTATTCACATAATAGCGAAGATAGATGAGCACAAAATGTCCAAGTCCCTAATAAAGTAGTTTAACGCTCACTGATTATTTACCACATTCACTGGGTAAATATTATAATTTTACTATAATAAATAAACAAGAATTCCGTATGAGGACCAACAACAATTAATGCAGCTAAGGCGGGAGGAATATGAGATCCAGGGCAAGAAATTTTTAACTTTCCAATCATTAACATCTGAACAAAATTAAACTGCAAACCTAGACTCACCATTTTGCATGTCACCTATATGAAAATATGAAATATTTTAGCAGCAGAACTCCATTCCCTTGGAACATAATTTATTCTTCAGCATCTTTCCCAAGCCTCATTCAAGGAGGGAAAAAGAATAAATAAATTTTTAACCTTTCAGCACTGCTTGACAACCAACAACCACAAAAACCAGCAGATATGAAATTCATGACCGGAAAAGGAAAGTAGAATATAGACCCGACAAGTTTGAATTGACTTTCAGCTCAAATGTAAAGAGAAGCTGCAGCTAAGGATATTCAAAATTGGATGTAATAAAAACTGATTGCAAGGGAGAGCAAAAGCCACCTGTGCATGAGCAATATAGAACTTCAGCCGATTCATCTCACTGGCGATTCTCTCCAACAGCATGCTTTGAGTATCTCTGAGATTTGTTCCATTCTCAACATGTTGTAAGGAAGTCCCGTTGGTAATAAAATTCTTCTCTGCCAAATTTACATCTCCGTTCAACCAATCAGCCGGCACACTGGGCAGCTCCTGTATTAGTTTTTCAACCTGCATTCAATAACATTTATACTATGAACAGTTGCTATTACAAGATAAGTACGAGAATGGATGGGATCTAAGATCAACACAAGAATGTGGCTAATCGAGTTTAGCTTTCCACTCTATTCATCTTATCTTCTTTCTAGAAGCTCTCAAATCAGGAAACCCAGACAAGGTCATTGAATAAGTTTTCATATCCAAAAAGAAATCAACTAATATGAGTCATTCATTACACAAACTCAAACTAAATTCTGAATTCCGAAGCCATCAAATTCCAGAACGAAAGAAAAAATGATAATAATGTTCTCTACAGTCCCAATCTTTTTCGACAGATTTGGTCAGTGGAATTAGAAATTGCAATCCAATTCCAATAATAATAAATCAACCAAGCAATGAAACCAACACTAAGTCCTCCAATCTCCCTAAATTAGTAAACCAAAGCTAAAATCAAACTGGCATTACCTTAGAGACGACATGAAACGTGTCGAGCAGAAGCTCTAAGACCTCCCTGGCCTCGTTGGCCTCTGATCTCTGCTTCAAGCCGTTGGTCAAGGCGACGAGCGAGTTCTGGACGGAGCCTCTGAAATGCTCGATCTTCTCCCTTAGCTCGACCAGCGGGGCGCGCATGCGGACGACGGCGGAGTCGACGTCGACAAGCTTGGTGCTGAGGTTAACGAAGTCGGCATAGTCGCGGTTGATGAGGTCGATGAGCTCGTGGTTGAGGGAAGCCAAGTAGGACTGGAGCTCGGACCGGAGCGTGTCAAATGGGACGAAGGTTCGGAGGTCCGATATGTACGATTCGGAGTCGAACTCCGGGGAGAGGAAGAGCGCGGGCTTGAACCAGAGAGGGTGGGAGTCAAGTGGGTCGGAGAAGAAGTCCGTGGCGGTTCTGTGCGGTGCTGGGATTGGATCCGCCATGTGTATGGTTGCCGAGAAAAGTACCAAGAGGGAGGAGGTTACGTGTCTTCAGATCAGACAGAGGGATGTTGGAGGTTGAAGACGAGTAACTGCTGGTCACTACGGATCTGGGGTTTCCTTATTTTCACTTGGGCTTTATTTATACGTTACGGACTGTGAATCCAACTAATGGCAAACCAACATCTTTCTTTTTCTTTTCTTTTTCTTTTTGGGTTGAAATCTTAATGACAAAGAAAACACGTAGGCCCAAGTAGATCAAAACACAAGATGGGCCTAGAGAACATTTGCTTCCATACAAATTGGGGGGGTTTGAACTCGGATATAGAAAGGCCGAGGCCAATAACACACTGCATTGGCCGACTGGCCTAACCACATGTGCCAATTCTTAATATTATCTGTCCTGTCAAGAGGGAATTCTTGGGTGTTTCGGGATAACCCTTGGCGTCATCTGATAAATTACTTACAAAATTCAATATTCATCATCATATGAACATGTTGTATTTAAAAATACGTCAGGAAATGTTTGAAGGGAGGAAATGCAGGAGAATAAAACAAATGTGAGACCAGAAAATCTGCTGAGCCAGCATCTATTATACATTTGATACTTCAAAAAAATCACTTCATAGTGAATGGTTACTGAAAAATGACTTATTGTTCAATTCCGACGAGCGCAATAAAACAATGACTATATGCACATATGGCCATTCCGTCTTTGGCTTTTGTTTTTCACTCTATGATCACCACAGTAATTTTTGATTTAACAGGCACCGTTCTTTGTGCAGACAAAAGGGATGATGGGAAACAAAACGCAAGCAGTGGAAGCCAAGCCACTTCTCCTTTTAGAAGGCTTCACTTCCCCTGTATCCGCCACCATCAAACTAAAGGATAAGGGAAAAAAACAGCTTTGATAAACTGAATTTCATTTTACAGACAAAATGATTCTCCAGAAAGCCTAAACTAAGAGTGGGCAAAATTACTTCGGGCTCTAGGAGAACTGTAGATGATTGTAGGAGCGAAAATTTCGAAGAAAAAAAATGATTTAAAAAAAACCCCTTTTGTACAAAGGATGCCTTCACATGAAGTAGCTAAGGGCCTTCTTTCTTCTAGAACCCCCTTCGCCGTATAGTTCATTCCATTGTAAAAGCTCAGTCATGTTGACGGACTCCGATGAAACACTAGCACATACCTATTTCCAGATAACAAGTTCAAAAAATTTAAAGCCGCAATAAAGAGAGAGAGAGAGAGAGAGAGAGAGAGAGAGAGAGAAGAAAGAAGGCATGCTAATGGATTCAATATGCGCTTTACCCGCTCATGAGCATCTTTGAAGTCATCCATGTTCAAAGACCGTATATCAGCACTGCCACTCAAAGCTGGGGCAGGTTTACCTTCTGCCACAGCTACAGCATGCTCCTGTCACCAGTGGAACATATGAGATCAAAAAATCAACGGGCACAACTTGATTAAGTACCACGTTTGGTCTAATGATTTTAAACAAAATAAAAAAATCCAAGGAAAAAAGATGAACCTTTTTTTCCTTCTCCAAAATCTCTTTGATTGGACGATGTGCAGCAGTTACACAAAGATTCTGCAATATAACAATTATTGATATAGATACTCAAATATACCCAATAAAGAAACAAAATAACTACCAAGAAAAACAGTATCGCATTTATTACCTTAAGGTCACTTCCAGAATATCCATCTGTCATGCTCGCAATTGCATCGAAGTCAATACTGGGAGATAAGTCCTCTTTTGCTAGTATGACTTTTAATATCTTTGCTCTATTTGGAGCATCTGGCAAATTTACCATCAACCTGCAGAAGAAGACTCATTATAAACAAAAAGACATCATGTAATAAAAGGGTAACAGATGTGTGGGTTGAAGTGTAAACACAGGTGTCGGAATAGGTACTTGTATACATGAAACTATTGTTCCAATTAGGACGTGATGTTTACCTGCGCGGCAACCTTCGAATGACGGCCTCATCAAGGTCAAAAGGCCTATTTGTCGCTGCCAGTACTAGAACTCGTTCTGCTTCTTTTGTTCGTAAACCATCCCAATTTACCATAAATTCATTTTTCATCTTACGCATTGCCTCATGCTCCCCTGGATTTTCCCGCCGTCCCAACATGCTGTCAACCTATTACAACCGCCAACAATGAGAGCATAAGTTTAAAACAATAACACAAAATAAATATTATTGTTTAAGGGATAAAAGAACCTTACTTCATCAACAAATACAACACTAGGGGCAATTTTACTAGCTAGCGAGAAAACAGCTTTCACATACTTCTCACCCTCACCAAACCACTGCACCAAAGAAGATAAAATGATTTAAAATTGTGAAGTGAAATCACTTATGAGATTATACTATAGCCAAACTATCCAAAATGCCAACCTTAGATGTGATACTTGACATGGATATGTTGATGAAGTTTGCACCAGCTTCTGTAGCCACAGCCTTCGCAAGCATTGTCTTGCCTGTTCCAGGGGGGCCAAATAACAGGATGCCTTTGCAAGGCTGCACACAGAAGACACATAAACATGATCTACACTCACCATCAGATGCTTAAAATACTCAAATCTAAAACATGTATCAACCTAGTACTGAAAAATAAACAAGTTCATAGATGACAACCTGCATATCAGACACAGTAAAACAACGCACTATCATAAGTAATTCATATAAACAACAATATTAAATATCACATGCAAATACAAGCCGTACAATTTTAAAGCAATCGAGTAAAGAATCATATTTTCTCTGAATACAGATAAAGCTTTAAACCTTGGTTAATTGCCCCTTGCAGAAAAGCTCCGGCCTTTGTAATGGAAGCATCACCAATTCCTTCAATGTATCCTTCACATTCTCAAGGGCTCCAATATCATCAAACGTAACTCCAATGTCACTAGGAGGAATAACATCAGCCAAAAGCCTTTTCTCAAATTCATTTTCAGTTACAACATCCTGATTTCAACCCAAAAAAAAAAATCACTGTTAAAATTAACATAGAATACCTTGTAAGGAAAAATGAAGAGTTATTTCAAATCTTGGAATAATTCCACTCAGGACAAAAAAGGATGCTTATAAAAGTTATTGGAAACAAAAATCCAGCTAACCACCTTAAGTGACTTCTTCAAGCTCTTCGTTTCATTCTGGATAGCCTGTAAAATTTCAAGTCCGTACTGGATGCTGCCAGAATTGCAACATGGCATTACAACTGTGTAATATCCATCCAATAACTGATATTTCAGCTAACAATTATTCATGAAGATGGCAAGAAATGAGCTGTCAATTACCTCTCACCGGACAAAACAACTTTTTCTTGTGGATCAGCTTCAGGATTCTGCATTAAATGATGGCTTAAAGCCCATCCAACTACCTTCTCTGAACCTGCAACAGATGAAACAAAACATAAGTTACAAAATATAGCAGAAACAAAACAAAACCATAAGCAACTATCGATATCTTTGATATATCAGAAATGGTGCATACTTTCATTTGTAAGTGTTTGATCCTTGATGCATAAAGTCTCAAGTCCTTCACATTCAATTCCACATCGACCGAGAACCTAGAGATGAGATAGTGCACCATGATTATCATCTTTATAACTCACCAGCTGTAACCATACACTTCCATGACAAAAAGGAAATAGAACTCAAGACAGCCTGAAACCCCAAAAAGAAAAAAGCTTACAGTGCGCAAGAAATTCAGGTTTCCCTTCATTTTAAGGGTTTCAGAATCTCGATCCAGTTGTTGCTTCCATGAGACAAGAAGTGCTTCATCCTGCAATGGTTAAGCTTTCATAGCATGTTAAGGAAAGCCCCGCCAAGGGAAGAAAAAAACACCTCTATTCAACAGGAACCCAATATACAAACCTGCGGCATATGAATGGTTACTTTGTTAGGAAAGAGTTTGGTCAGAAGTTTTGTTGCCTTGGGATCCTCTTGCCCTCTCTCATGTAGTCTTCCAAAACTATCCTGAAACCAGGAAGAATCCACGCTCAGAGTAACAAAAGGGCTCCATCCAGACTTCGCATAATTTTAAGACAGATAACTAAACTAAGCCATTATGCAAAAGGTTAAAAGAAACATCAAACGCATAAGCAAAAGCACATGTTTGTTAGAGTTATATAAACATTACCGGGAAAGCCAAATCAAGAAGAGCAGTTTGATTGCTACCAAACTTTGTGAAAAGCAGACCACCAGGGTGTGACTGCAAGAGAAAGGAGGAGAACATTTAAGATAAACCGTAATCTTTTCCAAGGCCATCTAATCCAAGGGTGGAGTTCAAAAAGGAAGCAAAATAAATGTTCAATTTCAAGCAAATCTTACAGCCTCCCCCCACTTTCTAGTGATTTAACTGCCACTAGTTTTTACCACCTAATCCATCTTGCATGGTTACACACCTAATGCTATTAAGTCGATATATACATGGTTATCAAGAGTTTTTCTTTAAATTCAATATTGGCTCAAAGTATTGAGCATCGGCCAGACAACAGTACCTAGAGCAGAAAGAAATGCTAGCAAGATATACTTTCGATTTCATTGTCTAAAACATAGGTAAGGATGGTTTTATACATCAAAAAGAAAATTTCTGTACAATCATTTAACAAAGATAATAAACCATACTGTTGGTTCCTATGGACTTACTCTCTTTTACATGATAATAAACCAGATCATGTATCTTCGGGGCATACATGCATATAATTGATGCTATAGCATTGATACAGAGGTTTATACATTTCAAATTCTATTGCAATTTCCATTTGTTCATTTAAAGTTGAAAGTTCTTAAAAGATCGCATAGCTAATTCCTCATATCATGTATCAGATTGAAGAACAAATTGCTAAAACATATATTACCTTCTCCTTACGATTGTCAGTATGAGTATGAGAACCAATGACAACCACATTATCTGGAAGCTTATCAAGTCTGGCTCTGAATGTGGAAAATGAATCTGAATTGCCTACAAGGGACTTCTCAGCATCTTTCATGAACAAAATGAAAGGAGAACTCCTGCTCTCACTAAGTACAGCCTTTGAAAAAAAAACGTAAATAAATTCAAAAGGTGATAATAAAATTAAACCAAAAGTAAAAAATAAATCAGTCTATGATGGAAGATATGGCACCTCAAACAATGTGTTGATAAGTAACTTGTCCAAATCTTCCGCACCAGTGTTTTCCAGTCGAAGATCAGAGACTAAAGAGAGAGAGAATAAGAAAAGTTTTACATATGCATAGACCTAAAGAAGAAAAAAAAACAAAGGTACAAGTCTATGGAACTGTTAATGACTGAATTCATACCATTGCAGAAAAATCCATTTCCTTTGCATATACCCCCAAGATCAACACCATCAGGTATTGGTTTATCAAACCTTATGCCAACTTTTGACAGAGGATTGTCCTCAAAAAGCAGTACGACCTCTCCCCGGGTTCCGCTTGCCGGGCCCCTGTATATCACGTAACATAGCATATATACCAGCATCAGTGCAATAATATAGTGTTTAGGGGACATTGAGAAAAAACTATAGTATCAGCATATAATACATTTCAATAATACTACTGGTAAATATTCCAAGAATTATTAACTGATACAGGGAATGCCATTATTCCAAGGAACCAAACACTAAATTCAATCTATGCTACAAATTTTATGTACCTCCTACTGTAAAGAAACAACAGGATACGGATCAAGCCGTTTCAAAATTGCTAGAAACAGATCATACAATTAAACAACTGGTAGATAAATGTAGTCCTAAACAATATTACGTGATATACAGTTCAAACTCAGACATTACACCAGTATAGTAGGAAATTTCTATATGCATAAATCAAGTTCAATTCAAAACCACATATTCTCAAAAGACAAATAGTATCAACAACAGAAGCATTCCACTAGTGTTTACAACTATTGTACCGTGAAGAAGATGCTGCGGAATACAAGGCACCGGAAGATGACCCAATAAATTTTACTCTGTCACCTGCATATTGTAGTTTTTAAGAACCATGTCAAGTTACGTATATAAGTATAAAAAATGAAAAAAGCAGAAACTTTTAGTCTGGGAGAGAGCAGCAGAAAGATATCTGCAAAGTGCAAACCTCTTTTAAACAAGAAATTCTTCGATGTCCCTGAGGAAGAGGGGATGGTGTCAATCTCCATCTTTGGTTCGGATTCCAGGCCATTCGAAGGTGCATTTGAAGAGCTCGGTGCTTCTGTTTCAGAAGCTGATGCATCAGTGTTTTTAGCCGCATCTGTGGGCGTGGGGCTTTGTTTGGTCAAGCTGCAGAGCTTTTCTGCATTAAATCCATCCTTCAGCAGCTCCGCTTCCTTTGATGATAAACCCTATAGAACATTTTTTATTGGTAATTCCCTCTAATTAGCTCTGGTAAGCTATAATTATAGACAGAAGTACAAAAGGAGTATTGATAATGATACTAAAGCAAAATATTATAATTTTACTCAGTGGAACAAAATGAGAATGATTATATCCCAAGAATAAGGAAGTATACTAGAAGTGAGTACTTAAGCAAATGCTAAGAAGGTGCCGTTTAGCTTACACCCAAAAATGAGTGGCTATCAAATATGAGCAACTTAGACCCAAAATATTGTGCAAGGGCCTTTGCCAGCATTTCCTGATATATCTCAGACCCTGTGAAAGCATTCAGAAACAATAATTTTCAGTTCCGAGAAACAAAACCAAATATCATAAATGGGTTATTTTAGAATGAACACAGCAATATCCATACCTGCAGGACCAGAGAGCAAAATGCGAGGGTTCACAGTAGTAAGCTCTGAGGTATACTTCACATGTTCCTTATGTTTCAAATGTATAAATGAAGCTGCAATCAGCACATTCTTCGTATTCTCACTGAAATCAGCAAAAATATGAACTCCATAAATTACTGGTGCATATTTTAATTAACAATCACACTGGGTAGAAATCAGTCGTAAAAGAAACGGCATACTAAAATAACAACTACAGCACTCAGCAGCATCAATTTCATTATCACCACACCACTAACAAGAAACATACACACTGAAGCAAAAATGCATCAAATAAAAGCATGAATAAAGAGTGGACAGAACTAATGACATGACATCACACTTTGCAGCTTCAACCAAAACAAACTTGACTAAGGTCCACCTAACCCCAAATTTCCTTCTTCATGAGTCAATCTAAAGGCACATTCCTACAAATTTCTTTGACGACAAATTTCAACATTATATGTCACTAGATTACTACAGAAAACTTAAGAACAGAAAGCAAAGTACAGCGAAGAGAGAATGCAGATCATGAATATGGAATCACATATTCATATCTAAACTATAGATGCAAAGATACATGGGGCTGCAGATCCAACCGATGACAAATATATAATTTTTATTTTTAGAAGAACAAGAACTGCTTCGCTAGACTACTTGTTTCATGATGGTTAACAAAGAATGTACTGTATAGCTCAAATTAAAAATAAAGTTGGCGAATAAAGCATAAATTAGATGACTATTTCTAATTAACATATTGAAAACTGTCTTATTACCAAATAAAATAAAGAATACCTCAAATAGTATGGGAAGTTATCAAAGGAAACATCTATGCCTTTTCCATCGAGAATGCCTGCATGAATGCCGTCTTTAAATACAGCACACCGAAGAGACATGCCTGACGTTGATGCCGACTGCGAATCCCTCGTCCACTCGTTTCTTTCTTCCAATACCTGTTTACAGATACCTTTGCTCAATTTTAGTTTACAACTAGGTGATCGAGCTAACATCCTCAATAAAGGCCTTAGCAAATCATTCATCCCAGAGAGTTTTACATTGCCTGCCTCTATGCCAGAATCGTGGTTGGAGTCCAGAGTAAGATTCTTGTCTATTGCTCCAATATCTTCAGCTTTGTCAGCCACTCTGTTTGGAGTCGAGCTGCTTTCCAGGCCATCGAGCTCAACTTCGTTACCATCTTGAACAACAGACTGAGCTGGTACATCAGCACCTGGGTGAACTTTACTGGTGGTCTGAGCTGCAGGCTTCCATCGTGATAGTTCCGACCTCAAACTAAGAGAAGCCAGTATGGAAGCCCCAGCCACAGCTGAAGGATCTCCTGCCCTCCTTTCCATGTGCAGAAATTTTCCAATACCACTTTGAACCTCTGAACTCTTAACTGCAGCCTCAGTCAGAAGTAGTTGAAAAATCTATTGATACAAGTTAAGGAAATTATCCATAGAGACACAAAAACATGTATAGGCCTGGACAGTTACACAAGTGACTGAATGTGATACAGGGACTATCCAGAAATTAAGACTGTAATATCAGAATAAGGAAGTAGAGAAGTAAACCACCGAGGAAGGATACATAAGCATGGTTGCCCAGAGAACCAAAGACCACTTCATCACCCGGGTTAAGCACACAGTTGTTGCCTTTCTTGACATTTGTCCCGTTTACCTGCACTGATCCCTTGCTTCCCGTACTTTCTAGAACGGCTACAGCTCCACCCTCATGCTGATCATGTCCAGAAACAATGAGTAGTCATACTGCATGTACATATTTTAATGAAACCAGAAAATGAAAACCAGTGACTACCCAAGTAGGTCACTACAGCTCTCAGTTCCACTGAGAAGCCCTGATCATAACCTAGTTATGCATGAAAGTCGCTGCATGTCTCTGGGCGCACTAGTGTTGTAAATTACGAACAAAATGTTAGAAATGGGACTCTCAAAGAATACCTGCACGCGCTTGATCTTGCACAGGAACCCACTAATGGTCTGGTCCTTCAAAGAAAAATTGCACTGTCTGTTTGCACCAATTGTGAAATTCATTGTGCAAATATTAATATTCATGTTCTGCAGTTAAAAAAAACCGATAAATAAACGTCAAATACAGAGCCAAAGCAAAACACTAAAAAGAGTAGTCCAGTCCAAAATCACAAAACAGGTTCTAATCAAACATTTGTAAGATAAGCACGAAATACCTGTCCAGACTGTGACAAAAGCTTGCACCAAGGTGTCGATGTCTCGAAACTAGGACTCTGCTTCTGATAAAAACTCCAAGACGAAAATGCGCTCCTCGGCTTTTCCACCACAGGCGTAGACCCTTCATAAACCACCAAACCAACATTTCCAATTTTTCAAATTTCAATGAAACCCATACCCCATAAACACAAATTGAGGCAAAAAAGAAGCTAAAGAACAAAATTCACACATTACAGAGAAAGAAATGAATCGTCGGAGTGCCAAGACCCTACCTTCAGCGATCGGCGGCGTGACCGAGACAGCTTGCGTAGCAGCGTCGGTCTTCCCAGAAGTTACGCCGTCTCCGGCGGCCGGAACATCGCCGAGACCACATTCTCCGGGATCGGCTGCCGCCGGAGGAGGCGTACAGAGCTCCTTCGAATTATCCACCTCCGGCGTCACTTTCTCTGAAGCACCGCCATTTTCGACCTGCGAAATCATCCCAAATCAAAACCCTAAATCTCACAATTCACGACCCCCAAAAACCCAATCTTTGACCCTCCAGAAAAAACCAAACAAATGAAAAGAAGAAAAAAAATCCGATTTTTCTATGCCAACAAAAACCTTATGTCGTTTTGGTGACGGAGGCTTGTCCTCGGAAGACGACGATCGTTTGCTGTTATTTCCAGAGAGAGATCCACTTCGCCTCGTTGAAACCATGGCTCTCTCTCTTCGTTTCCTTTCTTTTTCTTTTTCTCAGCTAGAAATGCTATAAAGAGAGAGAGAGAGAGAGAGAGAGAGAGAAAGATAGAGATTTTAATTATTTTTATGGTCTTGTTTTGTACATTTATAGTTTGTGTTTTTCAAAAGTGATAAAATATTATTTTCTTTTCTTTCTTTGTGTTCGGTTGGTGCATGGAAGATTGATGTCTCCAAGTTGGATTTTATAGAGGGAGACGACGGCGTAGGCTAAGCAGCGCGATGTAGCAACTAGGCACGACTGATAAGGACTTGGTGTTGCACGTTAGCAAGTTTTGTTAGGTTGTTCTTAAAATGCGCCGGTGGGTGTTTCATAATGAAGGAGAGGTTATGGTTTTAGAGGACTTGACTTGAGGGGGTTTGGTTCTTCAATGATCAATCTAGCGGGGGGTTTTGTCTTTTTGTACTTGCATTTATACTTGTAGAAGTGACAAGGTTCTATATAAAACTTAAGAGCAACAAATCATGTAAGGAGGCTCCTCCTAAGCCCCTAGTGTGTTGGTTTCAACCTATTATGTTTTGGCAAGTGGAATTTGGTTGATTGGATTTCTTAAATTGATATATATATTTTTTTTAAAATTTTAAGTTGATAATATTAACGTCTTTCTCACGCACACAATAACAATTATTTAGTGATACATCAATTAACAATTAAGAGTTACCAGCAGCGCACAAACTGATTATATTAAGTAAAACTCTTTGAAAATACATTAGATATGTATAACATATTCATTACACACAAATGGTATGTATAACCTATGCATTTGTGGGAGTTAAATAAATTTGATAGAGTAATTACTTATATTTTTACAAGGATATTTTGTGAAGAGAGTTGTATTATTATTACTATCATAATTAAACAAAGAATTTAAGAGCTTTTATGGAATCATGATGGGTTTTGTGTTTGTGATTTAAAGTACAAAGTTTATTTTCTACAACTTATAATGTTAGTGCGTTTAAGTAATGAGTAAACGATTATTAACTCACTAACATTGTTATACACTTGACCAACTTCATAAAGATGCAGCCTTTATTCATGCAACACGTCAGCTTTTCTTGAACAATCAACAAATACAAGAAGGCACACTTCTCCAACAATTACTCTCTTCCCACGATTTTTCTTAAATAATTTCTCATCTTCCATCTCAATCCTATCTCCATTCTCATTCTCACTTTTATTCTCCCATTTTTTCCTCTATACTCTAGCACAACAAAATAAAAACTAAAAACTAAAATTGAAATGGTTATTAAACCGACCATAAAGGTATCACTATCAATAAAAGTATCTATTGTCTTCAGTTCGCAGTTCTGTCGTCGGAACAATGTACTCAGGGCAAACAGAGCTTGAAGGAGTCTAAACAAGTTTCACATTTTCATAGAAGATCCAAGAAATAATACAAGTACCATAACATTTCCGACATGAGGTTTAACAGAACCACAAGGCTCTCTTGCTACTGATGACAACAAAGGAAAAGAAACCCCAACTCATAACATCTTAAAGTAGGTCATCATTGTTTAAGAAGCAGCACCACTGCGTAGAGTTCGACCCTTCTCTGCTTTCCTACTCGCCAGCTGAGTCTCAGGCTGCACAACCAACAAACAATGTAATAACGTCAATGAGGGAATCTTAAGTAATACAACTATACTCGCAAAATCCGATGAATAAACGACCCAGAACCTTTTCCTAGTTAAAATAGGTAACAAACAAATATTCAATTACCTCTTTCTTGACAGGCTCCTCCTTTTCTGACAAAATCAACTCAATATGGCATGGAGATGACATGTAAGCTGCCAAAGGAATTTAAATTTTACTATTATGAAAGTTGAAACACTTAAGAAACTGTATGTACTCGGAAGGTTAGAAACACTCACGATTAATTCTCCCGTGAGCACGGTATGTGCGGCGTCTTTGCTTCTGGGCTTGGTTTACCTGGATATGAGATACGTAAAGCGAATCCACATCCAAACCTTTCACCTAGAGAATATGTCAGCAGAAAACATACATGCTGTAAGCATACATATGTTAAACAGTAGTGACCAAAAAAATAAATAAAGTACAACATACCTCTGCATTACTCTCAGCATTCTTAAGTAAGTCGAGAATAAACTTTGCAGATTTAACAGGCCACCGCCCCTGTCCATTTGAATGGCGATTCTTAGCCTGAGCAGTTCGCCCTACTCCACGACAAAAGCGACGGAATGGAATGGCTTGCTTGTGGACCAAAACATCCTCCAAATACCTTTTAGCCTTGACCAAAGGCAGCTTGCGAATAGCATGGGCAGTCTCTCTTGTGTTCTGCAGAGAAAAGAAATGATAATTGTAGCAATATATTGCAGGAACTTAGCAGGTGAAATCGGAACTTAGCAATATATAAAACCTAAAAACCACATAGAAACATTTCTAACTTTTTAAAGCACTTCAAAAATTTCAGTAGCTATCACAAATTTGATGATATAAAGCAAAAATGAGAGCAGAAAAAAAAAAAAAAAACCCGATAGCCTGACAACTGCGAACATATATGACAACCCACATTGTATTCATTAGAATAACTGGCACAGAAAATTTCATCAATCATATTCCTGTCAACCCCATATGTACATCAAATTTCGTCTCCGTACCTTAAAATGCACTCGGAGATCATTGCCCCTTGCTTTGCAGGCTGATTTAACAATTGCAGAACAATACAATCATTAGATTTTGAATAAACCCTAAACAATTATATTTTTAAAAAAAATGCAAACTTTGAATCTTAAACTAATCTCTGCTCAGCTACCAAACAAAAACTTAATTAACACTAAATGAGAAGAAACCAGTAGTTTTAAAAAATTAAAAAATAATAGCAGGTACTTACACTTGGTATGGTTGTCTGGCTCTCTCGAATACTTCACCTGAAAAAAAAAAACCAATCAATTCAATCCAACAACTCATAAGAACTCAAAAACCAAACTAGTTAAGAAACCAAACAACTTGGTTCCAATTGCAAAACTTGGTTCCAATTGCATTGCTTTCAGAAACAGGAACACAAGAATCAAATCCAAACAACTCACCATGGCTGCTCCCACAGGCTCTGCTAAGATTTTCCTTCCCAGCTCGCAAAGATAAACGAAACCAAGGGTTTTAGAGAGAGAGAGAGAGAGTAGGGTTTTTTACCAGCTGCTAGTGGGCTTGAACCTTTTTATTCGGGCCAGAGACCACATTAACATTGTAATAAATGGGCCTTTTAAATTGGGCTTTCCTCTAATATTGGAATTTACCCACGTGCTAATCTAACAAATATATAGCCAATCACTAGATTCCCGCCACGCGTTAACAATTTTACAGGCCGTCGTTTAAAAAAGGGCACTTTTGTAACTTCAGCAATTGCAGAAAGCCACAGAGGAAAGAGAGAGAAAGAGAGAACTGGTTTTAGCTCCGGTGCCGATCTGAAAGCAGCGAGGAGGAGAAGCAACAAAAGCTTTAGTAATAAGTAAGGACATGTCGTTTGGTTAATTATTTGCTTATCTAATTCTCGTCGTATGTGTTTTACTTCCTACTTCTCCTTTTCTTTTCTTTTTTCTTTTTTTTTCTTTTTTTTTTATAAATTAATTAGCGTCTGAATTCTGGTAAACAAGATTAATTTGAATTAGCACAGCCTGTATAAGCTTTGAACACACTAGCTCGTCTGTCAGTTTTAAATGCTCAAATTGGGTTCAAAGTGCGCTGCTTTTGATTTTTGAATTCTGGGCTTCTAAAATTAGGGTTTATATTCTTCCACAGAAAAATAAAGCAGGGCTTCTGCAAATTCTTGCTGGGAAGTTTGTGCCTACTCAATTGGAGCTCTTTACAGGTGTAAATATCTTGCATTTTTATTAGCTGGAGGAGAAAGCTTGGTAGAGGCCAGACCCAAGTTTGAATTTTTTTGTTGGCATATGGAAGTTTGGGGGTTTCAGAGGTTTTTGATGGAATAGTTTGGTGTTAAAGATTGTGTTTTTAGATAACCAAGTCGATGAATAATAATAATCAGGCCAAGAATGTGGGGGTGCCTCCCCATTTTGGCAATTCTGGGGCAGTGCCACAACCTATGGCCATGAACCACCAGCCTCATCTTCTATCTCAATCACAGCCTCAGACTCAAGGTGGGTCTCATTTTCCGGGTCACTTTCAGTTGTCGGAGCCCCAAGCTCAGGCACTTGCACAGGCACAGTACGTGAATGCTCATGCACAGGCCCAAACTCAAGCTGCTCATGCCCAATTTGTTCAGTTGCAAGCTCAAGCTCAGTCCCTTGCCCAGTTGCATAGTGCCAATACTAGTAATGCTGGTGCTGCTTCACCCTCCATAGCAACGCCTAGCACGGGCTCTGCCAAGCGGGCTAACCAGAAGCCACCTTCTCGGCCTCCAGGTTCATCTAATGCCAACACGGCTTCACCATTTAAAACCATGGAGCTCACCCCAGCTGCTCGTAGAAAGAAGCGGAAACTACCTGATAAACAAATACCAGACAAAGTGGCTGCACTTCTGCCAGAGTCTGGTCTCTATACTCAATTGCTTGAATTTGAGGCTCGTGTTGATGCTGCTTTGGCAAGGAAGAAGATCGACATCCAGGAGTCCCTTAAATGTCCTCCCCGTGTTCAGAGAACAGTTCGAATTTATGTCTTCAACACCTTTGCAAATCAGACGCAAACAACTCCTGAGAAGACGAATGCAGAACCCCCTTCTTGGTCACTGAAGATAATTGGGAGGTTATTGGAAGAAGGGAATGATCCTGTGGTGGCTGGAATGACACAGAAATCAAGGGCAAAATTTTCGTCTCTGTTCAAGAAGATTACCATATACTTGGACAAAAGCCTCTATCCGGATAACCATGTGATTTTATGGGAAAGTGCTCGTTCACCCGCTCTTCATGATGGTTTTGAAGTCAAAAGAAAAGGGGACAAGGAGTTTAATGCAATAATAAGACTGGAGATGAATTATGCACCTGAGAAATTTAAACTTTCCCCGGCTCTGAACGAAGTTCTGGGAATTGAGGTAGAGACACGGCCCCGAGTTATAGCTGCTATTTGGCACCATGTGAAGGCCAGGAAATTGCAGAACCCAAATGACCCCACTTTATTTGTGTGTGATCCACCTCTTCAGAAGGTTTTTGGGGAAGAGAAGATGAAGTTTTCTATGGTTTCACAAAAGATATCTCAGCATTTAACTCCACCACAGCCTATAAATATAGAGCATAAGATAAAACTTTCAGGAAATTGTCCAGCTGGAACTACTTGCCATGATATACTGGTTGATGTACCTATGCCATTAGAGAAGGAGATGTCTGCATTCTTGGCAAGCACCGAGAGGAACAAAGAGATTGACGCTTGTGATGAATTGATTTGTGCATCTATCAAAAAAATCCATGAACATCGTCGGCGGCGGTCTTTCTTTCTTGGGTTCAGTCAATCTCCAGCAGAGTTCATTAATACTTTGATTGCTTCTCAGAGCAAGGATCTGAAGCTTGTTGCTGGAGATGCTAGTCGTAATGCGGAAAAGGAGCGGCGCTCTGATTTCTACAATCAACCCTGGTAAGCTTCTGCTCTGCATTTTATGCTTACACTTTTTATGTGTGTTCTTTTGTATGCTTGCTTAGTAGGATTATACTGCTCAAATAACTTCATGTCACTATTTAGAGCTTGCCAACTAAATACAGTTTGATTAGAGAAGAAAACTAAATGGGCCAGTTGCCTTTCAGTTCTTGGATTTCCATGGTAACCTTTATTTATATAAAATCCCTAGGTTTACCTAGCGTTTGTATTAGTAATACAATCCCTACTCAGTGAGCGTAACGTCAACATCTAATACTGTATCTTCTATTTTGAAATAGAAATTCTCCGCATCAATTGGAAAAAAAGAATTGTAATTCACAGTTTCTTGGTCTGATATATAAACTAAGCTGCCTAAAATGTCTTGAAAATATTGCAGAATTTAATTTTTTGTTGGTCACTTGCCCCTACAGTATAAGATTTACCAATTCTAGCAGTATATGATGTTAGTTTCCCTA